TCCTCGCCCCTCCTCAGGCTCTGCCTCCTTCCGACCCCAGCCTCTCCCTACGCCGCCTCTCGCCGCCTCCTCCTGCCCCCCCTTCTCCCCCTACTCCTTCTCCCCCCCCTCCCCCCCCATTCGGGGTCCACGTGGAACCGGGCCCACCGCCCTCGAGTGTCAGCCGAGCGGCGGCCGCGAGGAGCCGACGGCCAGAGGGGCAGCGGGGAGAGGGCGAGGGAGGGGGAGAGGGAGGGGGAGAAGTAAGAGAGAAGTGGAGGCAACATATGATTTTTAAACGACGCGTGAACAATCGAAACTCGCATAAGTGCTGGAATATAAAACCCATCGCCACAGGCAAGGGCGAATGCAAGTGCACCGCCACTGAGCCGCATTGGTTATTGTGGCAAAGAGCTGCAGGTAACATGACTAAGCGCGCACGCGCAAATAGCTAGGCGACAATTGAACACGCGAGAGAAAGGCGAAATTTGCCCGACTCACCGCATGGCCACTCGAAACGCACCCCTCGTACGCTCTGCAACAGACCCCCTGCTAATGCAACTTCACGCGGTCATGGCGCAATCCAAGACCTCCCCCCACAGGCGATGCATTAGTCAGCACTACTCCCGCGCGCGCGCAAAGCAATGCAACAAGACGTAGCAGTTGAACAGCCACGCATGCACGGATTGTACCACAATCTCGGCTATGGTGAATTCACGTAAACGATCGCAAGGGTAGCGGTAGCGCTGGCATACTTGATGCCCTTGAAGGCAGGCAGCTTCTGGGCCGACACGAAGGAGCAGCACCGATCGTAAACGAACGTGTTCACGCTGGGGTGCTTCTTGGGAGCACGAGTCAGGGCCTCTGCCGCCACGCCGTTGCCCTCTGGGTTCTTCTGCTCGACTGCGGCAACGATGCGCCTTTCAGGGGCGAAAACCATGAACCACCCGCGGATGTGGTGCATGTGGCGGGCTGCTTTGCTGCTGCTCTTGCACTGCTTCTTCTTCTTCTTCCGAATGGCTGCGGCGGACGGCCCCTGGCGGGGCGCAGCGGCAGATGGCCCCTTGCGCGCTGGCGCGGCGGACGGCCTCTTGAGAACCACGGCCTTCTTCTTCGCGGCAGGCTTCACGCGGGAGACGTGCTTCTTGATGGCGGTCTTGCGCACCCTCTGCATCGATCCCTTCATCGCGACTGGCCTCCTGCGCACGGCGCGCTGCTGCCTCTCCTCGCCATTGCATTTCGTGAGGACTTTCTCGTGCCCGTCCCCGACGAGCACCGTAATCTTCTTCGGGCGCGGATCGGGGAACACGTTCCTGTGGTAGTAGCTGTCCAACTTGGAGAAGGTATCATCTGTGATCTCCTTGCCGATGATGATGCCGCGGTGCTCTTTGATCGGCTCCATTTCCTGCACAGCGATCAGGTACATCAGCGCGTCGAGGTGGATCTTCCTAAAATCGGTGACGAAGTCCTTGCCGTACCCCTCCTCCTCCTCGTCAGCAAAGACCTCCTTGGTGACCCAATCGATGCCGGAAGCCGTGGTGAAGGCGCGGAACATGAGCTTCTCGTGGTAGCGCAGGTAGCGCATGGTAAACGCTCTCTGGATTTCTCACGAAGACTACGCCAGACTGTTCGAAGTCGGCCAACGTGGCTGTGTTCACCTTCTCGCCATCAACCCACATGAAGTTCGGGCCGTACGTGAGCCTGCAGGTTTTGTTAGTGCACCGCCATGTCCTCACCGCAATCTCCGTGGTCTGTTCGCATTGCAAGGGAGACAGATTGCGCCAGCTTCCGCAAGCATCAGAATTCTCATCCCATGGATGATGAATCGGGATGGAATGCGGCGGGATGCTTCGCGTTGATACCTTCAGAGAGTCGGAAGGCCCAAAAAAATGCCCCCCCGAGCATGGTCCTCGAAATTCCAGCCCCGTGCCGTTTGGCACAGGGCTGGAGTTTCGAGAACCATGCTCGGGGGGGCATTTTTTAGTGAAGAGGCTGGCAGAATAGTGGCATAGCTTAAGAGGGTGAGTAGATAGGGAGAGTGAGAGACAAAGAGAGAGAGTGAGAGAGAAGAGAGAGCAAGAAAGAGAATATAAGGATAATGATGAAGAGAAGGGTACGAAAAGCCATAAAACCCCATCTAGAACCACGAGGGCCGCCACAATCCCCCAGCCTCGAGAACTCCTCCTCCTCCTCCTCCTCCTCCTCCTCCTCCTCCTCCTCCTCCTCATCATCATCATCATCATCATCATCATCATCATCATCATCACAATCATCCGCCTCCTCCTCCTCCTCCTCCTCCTCCCCCTCCTCCTCCTCATCCTCTTCCTCCTCCTCCTCCTCCTCATCGGGTCTATCCTCCTCCTCCTCCCCCTCCTCCTCCTCCTCCTCCTCATCCTCCTCCTCCTCCTTGTCCTCGTCGTCGCCATCGTCATCGTCATCGTCATCGTCGTCGTCGTCATCATCATCATCATCATCATCAGCATCAACATCAGCAGCAGCATCATCATAATAACCATCATCATCATCATCATCATCATCATCATCATCATCATCATCATCATCATCATCGTCGTCGTCGTCGTCATCATCATCATCAGCATCAGCATCAGCATCATCATCATCAGCATCATCATCGTCTTCCTCCTTTTCCTCCTCTTCCTCCACCTCCTCCTCCCCATCATATCATCACCAGCAGCATCATCATCATCAGCAGCAGCACCATCATCAGCACCAACACCACCACTAGCAGCAGCAGCACCACCACAACCACCACGACCACCACCACCACCACCACCACTATCATCATCATCATCATCATCAGCATCATCATCACCACCACCACCAACACCACCACCATCATCATCGTCATCACCACCACCACAACCACCATCACCACCACCATCATCATCATCATCATCATCATCATCATCATCATCATCATCATAATCATCATCATCATCATCATCATCATCACCATCAGATTCATCATCATCAGCATCGGCATCAGCATCAGCATCCATCATCATCATCATCATCATCAGCAGCATCGTCGTCATCGTCATCGTCATCATCATCATCCTCCTTGTTCTCTCATCCTCCATCATCATCATCATCATCATCATCATCATCATCATCATCATCATCATCATCATCATCATCATCATCATCATCATCATCATCATCATCATCATCATCATCATCATCATCATCATCATCATCATCATCATCGTTATCATCGTCGTCATCATCATCATCAACATCATCATCATCATCAGCAGCATCATCATCATCGAGAGCATCAGCATCCTCGTCATCATCATCATCAGAATCGTCATCATCACCACCGTCATCAGCATCAGCATCATCATCATCATCTCCACCATCATCATCATCATCATCATCATGCTCATCATCATCATCATCACAACCACCATCATCATCAGCAGTATCATCATCATCATCATCATCATCACCGTCTTCAGCATCATCATCAGAATCGGCATCGGCATCAGCAGCAGCATCAGCAGCAGCATCATCAGCATCATCATCCACATCATCATCATCATCATCATCATCATCAGCATCATCATCATCACCATGATCATCATCATCATCATCATCATCATCATCATCATCATCATCATCATCATCATCCTCTCCCACCTCCTCTTACTCTTCCTCCTCCTCCTCATCCTCATCCTCTTTCTCCTCCTCCGCCTCTCCCTCCTCTCCCTCCACGCACATCCGAATACGTACTTTCCCATTTACTTTATCCCAAATCGCTCTCTGAAAGGTCCCAGGCCCAAAACGAACCCCCAAACACTGGAGCTGAAGAAACAACTCTGGAACTGACAACGTCACCGCGTCAACTGCCTGGGTCCCCTTCCGCGAAGTCGATCCTTGGACTTCTGCACATGTGCCTCATGTTCGGAGCTTCGCAAGGAATGCAGCCGAGGCGGCGCGAAGATTCCCCCCCACGAAAGAGTGCCGAAAACCTCAATCCTAGAACCTGGAACCGTCCGCCCCCCTCCCTCCCCTCACCGCGCACATGGCGGGCATCCTCGGCCGCGGAAGTGGAGGAAGGAGGGGCAAGAAGGAGGGACGCGCGTTGTGGCCAAACGGCTGACTGGACGCGCGAGGCCGGCGCGGACCTGAGCATCTGCGGAGGACGCCAGGGACGGGAGGAACAACAGAGGGTCGAACATTGAGGATCCAGGTTTCGGGATGTCTCAAACCATACTTGGTTTTCTCGAGATTATGATGGAATTCTCGTCGCCAGTAGTGGAACAACGAGGAGATTATGATCAAAACGCATACTTGGAAACGTCCAGGAGTCGACACTGAAGGAAGACAAGGGGAAGGACCGCAAAAAAAACGCATGGGGATCCTCGACACGGACGGGAGGCTTCTGCGAAAAAAAGTTTCGAAGAAGACACCCATCACCGTGAACAGGCCACCCTACACTTGTCCAGTCCTCCTGCGCGTTGGCTGTTTCTTTCAATTTCGGCCCCTAGGAGATGCTAGATCGGCCCATAATCGTCAAAGACACAACATCGCACTAACAGCAACCACACTGGCAATAGTGGTTTGCCTATCGTTGCGCGCGATGTATCAGTAGCGGCCTGCGTGCTTGAGATTTTGCCCCATCGCCAGCGCCCCGCGGAAGTGATGCTTCTCGCGCCAGAAAGGCTGCGGAGTGCGCACACACTTCCACTCCTCCTGACTGCCCTCGACCTAGCATCATGCATGATGCATTCTCTTCTCACCCTCAATACGCCGTCGGTTCCGCCCGGTGCGCTTTAGCACCCAGGAATCGTGAGGGGATGTCTGGATAACACAGTTGGGTAAGGCACGTTGGTCCCCCATGTCAGTTTTGTGTCTGCTGTTGTCAGCACTGCCTACAGACATGGCGCGCCCTAGACACCCTGCTGGCTCAAGCATCTCTTCTTGTTACGGACTGTCCAAATTGCCCTAGCTAGTTCGTCGTCGCTGGATGGGAGGAACGGTCGACCGACTATGCCCAGAACGCAACGCTGCGGGGGAACTTCACAAGTTTCTCCTGGATCGTCGGTTTCGTCACATGTCTGCTCCATTGAGGTCCGCGTGGATTTTCTCGATGTCCAGGGAGCACTTCTGCTCGCGCCATTGCTGCATGTCCAAAACCTGATCTCGATGTGTTTCATCTGACATGATCCTCTCTTACTCACGACGTGCAGTACGCTGCTGCTGCTGCTGCTGCTGCTGTCGCTTGCCAGGACAGGCGACACGTTCGTGCCACTCGGCTATCAGCGATGCCAGTCCGACCACCTCGGCTGCTCCGAATCCTAGCGCGCACAGCTCGGTTTCCGCGGAGATCCCGGCACGCCGCCCTGACAGCGCTCCCACAACAAAACAATGCGCCCGTAGTACTTTTTCAGCCCAAGCGATTTCAGACCTCTCAATGCAACAGCAGAACGCCCCCGATGCTTCTGGATTGTCTTCTGTACGAGCTCTGTAGCTCTCCTACAGCCCCGAGAAAGGCGCGTATTGACAGCACCTCGCAAGATGACTCGAACAAAACGAATAGTTTGGCAAACCCAGCTCGAGTATCAGACCGAGTTCAGACCTCTGAATGCGACAGGCGGACGCGTCTGATGTCTCCGAATCGATTCCTGTGATTACCAGCCCTGCAGTCCCACTACAGCCCGAGTTAAGTGCAGAAATCCGACAGCACCTCTCAGGATGACTCGAACAATACAAATAGTTTCGCGGACCTAATTCGGGCAGACCGAGTTCCGAGCTCTGAATTCGACAGGCGGACGCGCCTAATATCTTAAAATCGATACCTGTAACCACCAGGACTGTAACGCCCGAGTTAAGTACAGAAAACCGACAGCAGCTCTCAAGATGGCTCGAACAATACAAATAGTTTCCCGATTCTAGATCGGGCAGCAGACAGATTTCAGAGCTCTGGATTCGACAGACAAACACGACTGAGAGTTCTGAATCGGGTTCTGTAAGTATGAGCTCTGTAGCTGTCCTATAGCTCGAGTTAAGTACAGAAAACCGAGAGCGCCTGTCAAGATGACTCGAATAATACGAATAGGTTTGCGGACCTAGCTCGGCTAGCAGACCGAGTTCAGACCTCTGGATGCAACAGACGAACGCGCCTGATCATTCTGAATCGATAAGGTGTGCTCACCAACTCTGTAACTGTTCTGTATCTCGAGTTAAGTCAAACATACCGACAACGCATATCAAGATGACTCGAAACGGCCGATCCCGCCGCAACGCTTTTTGGCAGTAAAAGGTACCCGATCGAGCTGAGATCAAGATGGCGAGCGGGAATAAAATCGAATCTCACGGGAAAAATACAAGAGCTCTAACGAATGGTTGAATTTCGAGAACAAAATTTTCAACCGACCAAACTGGGCGCCGGCGGTAAACCGTCAACCTTTCTTACCGCCGGGGGACTCGTAGAGCTTCCTGACCATATATAATTTCGAAAAAAAAATGCAGAGAACGAATAGTTTTTCAGCACAAGCGATATCAGACCTTTCGTGGCAACAGCCGAACGCCCCTGATGTTCAATTTTCTTCTATACGAGCTCTGTAGCTCTCCCACAGCCCGAGTTACGTGCAGAAATCGACAGCACCTCTCAAGATGACTCTAACAAAACGAACAGTTCGGCAAACCTAGCTCGATATCAGACCCAGTTCAGACCTCTGAATGCATTAGTGGAACGCGTCTGATGTCTCCGAATCGATTCCTGTGATTACCAGCCCTGCAGCCCCCCTACAGCCCGAGTTAAGTGCAGAAAACCGACGGCACCTCTCAGGATGACTCGAACAATACGAATAGTTTTGCGAACCTAGTTCGGGCAGCAGACCGAGTTCCGAGCTCTGGATTCGACAGACGGACGCGCCTGATTTATCCGAATCGATTCATGAGATACCGAGCCCTGTAGCCCCCCTACAGCCTGAGTTAAGTACAGAAAACCGACAGCACCTCTCAAGATGACTCGAACAATACAAATAATTTCGCGATTCTAGATCGGGCAGAAGACCGAGTTCAGAGCTCTGGATTCAACAGACAACGCGACTGATGATTCTGAATCGGGTTCTGTAAGTATGAGCTCTGTAGCTGTCCTTTAGCTCGAGTCAAGTACAAAAAAAAGAGAGTGCCTGACAAGATGACTCGAAAAATACGAATAGGTTTGCGGACCTAGCTCGGCTAGCAGACCGAGTTCAGACCTCTGGATGCAACAGGCGAACGCGCCTGATCATTCTGATTAGATAAGGTGTGCTTACCAGCTCTGTGGCTCTTCTATAGCTCGAGTTATGTTCAGAAAACCGCCACCGCATGTGAAGATCACCCGAAACGGCCGATCCCGCCGCAGTTCTTTTTGTCACAATATCTACCCGATCGATCTAGATCAAGACGGCGAGCGGGAATGAGATCGAATATCACGGGACAAAACACTAGAGCTCTAACGAATGCTTGAATTTCGAGAACAAAATTTTCAACCGACCAGAAGTCAGCAAAAGGTCAGTCGAGATGTTTCTTGCCAACTAGCTCTCCAGCGCCCCGGAACTGGGAGCCGGCGGTGAACCGTCAAGCAGGTCACCGCCGCGAGCCTCGTAGAGTTCTTTCCTCGCACGGCGCTGCTTAGAACAAGCGGCAGGAGTTTTCCTGATACGCGAGGTAAAAACTCGAAAAGGAAGTTTTTTAAGTTGTCACCAAACGACGGTTCCGCCAAGTGTTTTGATAGAAAAACTGCAGCTACGGACCTGAGAATTCATTAGCAGACGCGACACAACCGACAAGTTCGCACATTGTCCGTCGGGGCCGGGTCGGCCAACGAATTCCTCTAGCTCATCGATGCCGAAGAGCTCTACGACGTATTTTCAACCGACCATTTGGTAGCGTCCAAAACCCGTCCAGCAACAACTGGGCGCCGGCGGTAAACCGTCAACCTTTCTTGCCGCCGGGGAAATCGTAGAGCGTCCTGACAATATATAATGCTGAAAAAAATTGCAGAGAACAAATAGTTTTTCAGCCCAAGCGATTTCAGACCTCTCGATGCAACAGCCAAACGCCCCTGATGCTTCTGGATTGTCTTCTGTACGAGCTCTGTAGCTCTCCTACAGCCCGAGTTACGTGCGTAAATCGACAGCAACCCTGAAGATGACTCGAACAATACGAATAGTTTGGCAAACCTAGCTCGAGTATCAGACCAAGTTCAGGCATCTGAATGCGACAGGCGGACGCGTCTGATGTCTGCGAATCGAGTTCTGTGATTACCAGCCCTGCAGCCCCCCACAGCCCGAGCTAAGTGCAGAAAACCGACAGCATCTCAGGATGACTCGAACAATACGAATAGTTTCGAGGACCTAGTTCGGGCAGCAGACCGAGTTCCGAGCTCTGGATTCGACAGGCGGACGCGCCTGATGTCTTCAAATCGATTCCTGTGACTACCAGCACTGTAGCCCCCCCACAACCCGAGTTAAGTACAGAAAACCGACAGCACCTCTCAAGATGACTCGAACAATACAAATAGTTTCGCGATTCTAGAGCGGGCAGCAGACCGAGTTCAGAGCTCTGGATTCAACAGACAAACGCGACTGATGACTCTGAATCGGTTTCTGTAAGTATCAGCTCGGTAGCTGTCATATAGCTCGAGTTAAGTACAGAAAACCGAGAGCGCCTGTCAAGATGACTCAAATAATACGAATAGGTTTGCGGACCTAGCTCGGCTAGCAGACCAAGTTCAGACCTCTGGATGCAACAGACGAACGCGCCTGATCATTCTGAATCGATAGGGTGTGCTTACCAGCTCTGTAGCTGTCCTGTATCTCGAGTTAAGTACAGTGTACCGACAGCGCGTATCAAGATGACTCGAAACGGCCGATCCCGCCTGGACGCTTTTTGGCAGTGAAAGGTACCCGATCGAGCTGAGATCAAGATGGCGAGCGGGAATAATATCGAATATCACGGGAAAAAATACTAGAGCTCTAACGAATGGTTGAATTTCGAGAACAAAATTTTCAACCGACCAAAAGTCAGCAAAAGGTCCGTCGAGATTTTTCTTGCCAACTAGCTCTCCAGCGCCCCGGAATTACTCTTAAGCTTCCAGCAATACCTTGCTAAGGGAAGCTCTACGAGTTACCGAGAGCGCCTGTCAAGATGACTCGAATAATACGAATAGGTTTGCGGACCTAGCTCGGCTAGCAGACCGAGTTCCT